TGACATGTTTTTTGATTATCGATCACACGATATTAATAAGAAATTATTGATCACACGGATTCAATGACTGGCCATTGATCAGTTTTAGTGGAACAGTATCGATCACATGAATTTAATAGCAAATTATTGATTACATGCTTCTGATTATCGATCACACGATATTAATAAGAAATTATCGATCACACGGATTCAGTCACAGGTTACCGATGACACAGATTTAATAACAAATCGATTTCGCAGAATCAATGACTGATCATTGATCGGTTTTAGTGAAACATTATCGATCACGTGAATTTAATAACAAATTATCGATGACTTTTTCCGATCACACGATATTGATTAACTATCGATTTCTCGCATCGGACCGCTCATCCACCCCGCCCGCTTTCTCCCCCCCCCCCCCCCCCCCCCTCCCGCCCCCCCGCAGGCCTCTTCCAGAAGGCGATCATCCAGAGCGGGACGGCGCTGTCCAGCTGGGCCGTCAACTACCAGCCGGCGCGTTACGCGCGGGCGCTGGGCGAGCGCGTGGGCTGCGCGACGCCCCCGGAGGCGGACTCGTCGTCGCTGGTGTCGTGCCTGCGCGGGAAGGACGCCGGCGAACTGGCCCGGGCCGGCGTGGCGCCCGCGACGTACCACGTGGCGTTCGGCCCGACGGTGGACGGCGACGTCATCCCCGACGACCCGCAGATCCTGATGGAGCAGGGCGAGTTCCTCAACTACGACATCATGCTGGGCGTCAACCAGGGCGAGGGCGCGCGCTTCGTGGACGGGCTCGACGGCGGCGACGGCGGGCGCGCGGGCGGCGGCGACGGCGAGGACGGCGGCGACGGCGAGGACGGCGGCGTCTCGGCCGTCGCGTTCGACCTCGCGGTGGCCGCGTTCGTCGACGACCTCTACGGCGGCGGCGGGGAGGGCGGGGACGGCGGCGCGGCGCTGCGCGAGACGGTGAAGTTCATGTACACCGACTGGGCCGACCGCGAGAACCCCGAGGCGCGGCGCAAGACGCTCGTGGCGCTCTTCACCGACCACCAGTGGGTGGCGCCCGCCGTGGCCACCGCCGACCTCCACGCGCGCTACGGCTCGCCCACCTACTTCTACGCCTTCTACCACCGCTGCCACGGCGCGGCCGGCGCGGGGGGCGGCGTCGGGGCCGCCGGGGGCGCGAACGACGGCGGCGGCGGGGATGCGGCGCACGGCGACGAGGTGCCCTACGTGTTCGGCGTCCCCATGGTCGGACCGACCGACGTCTTCGGCTGCAACTTCTCGCGCAACGACGTCATGCTCAGCGCCGTCGTCATGACGTACTGGACCAACTTCGCCAAGACGGGGTGAGCGCGCGCGGCGGGGACACGGGGTCGGGGGCGGAGTCGGGGGCGCGGGGGCGGGGTCGGAATCGCACAGGAAGCGGAGGGTTAGACAGGAAGTGGGCGTATCACAGAGAGGAAGTCGCCGTGCCGGGCGCAGGAAGCGGGTGAGACACGCAGGAAGTTGAGAAGTCGGACAGGAAGCGAAAGATTTCAGACAGGAAGTTGGTTGTTAAACAGGAAGTGGGCGTGGCGCAGACAGGAAGTGGGTGTTTCCTAAACAGGAAGTGCACAGGTTGGACGGGAAGAGGCTGTGTCATAGACAGGAAGTCTGTATGTGGGACAGGAAGTGAGTGTGTGGGACAGGAAGTGGGACCCACGGGCACGGGAAGTACATTTTTAAACAGGAAGTGGCCGTATTCAACAGGAAGTGCAGTCTCGGGGCACAGGAAGTGGGCGTGTCACACCGGAAGTGGGGTCGGGCGTTGCGTCCGAGCTTCAGATCGAGGTCGGGACTTCGAGACCTGAAATCGGGCTCACGACCTCCCGGATCCGACTCGGGACGGACGCGGGGTGACCGGGGTCTCGGGTCGGGGTAGACGGGCTTGGACGTCACAGCCCGGGGTCGCGACTCGAGGCCCGGCGTCCGGGGCGGCGTCCGAAGTGAAACCGGGGGGGACGAGGTCGAGGTCGCGGGTTCGAATCCCGGGGTCGGACCGGGGGTCGCGGGGTCGGGCGGGGTCGGGGGTCGCGGGTTCGAGTCCCGCGCGCGACTGACGAGCGTTTTCTCTCTCTCTCTGTCTGTCTTTCTGCCCCGCCCTGACCCCGCCCACCTGACCCAATTTCCCCGGCCACGCCCACTTTTCTGGCTCCGCCCACCCGATTCCGTCCCCTCCATCATTTCCCGGCCACGCCCACTCCCCGGACCCCGCCCCTCCCGGCCCCGCCCCCCACCCCCGCAGGGACCCGAACCAGCCGGTGCCGCAGGACACGAAGTTCATCCACACGCGGCCGAACCGGTTCGAGGAGGTCGCGTGGTCCAAGTACGACCCCCGCGAGCAGCTCTACCTGCACATCGGGCTCCGCCCGCGCGTGCGCGACCACTACCGCGCCACCAAGGTGGCCTTCTGGCTGGAGCTGGTGCCGCACCTGCACGGGCTGGGCGACGCCCTGCAGTACCTCAGCACCACCACGCGCGCCGCGCCCCCCGACCCCGACGCGCGCGTGCCCTCCACGCGGCGCGCGCCTCCCCCGCCGCCGCCGCCGCCGAGATCCCGGCAGGCCACGCGGCGCCCGGCGCTCACGTCCTCCTCCTCGGCCTCCGTCACG